TTCAAAAGTGTTAATCTTTGCAGCCTATATCAATCGATTCCTTTGGAATTTTTCCCTGACTTTCTCTGATCTAGCTGCATATATATATATATACGGATAATTAGTATGTTCCAGATATGGAAAGCTAACGGGATCTAAATTCTTAATTCGTAAATTTTCAATTTGTCAATTTATAACTTGTAGCAGTGTAATTTCAAATTTCAAATTTCTTATAATTCTTAAATTTCAGTTCAATTTGTAACTTGTAACTGTGTAATTTCTAAATTCTTAAATCGTAAATTGTCAATTTGTAACTTGTAACTGTGCAGTTTCAAAATTCGTATATTGAAACTCTGTATTTTCAACTTTGAAATGCAACATTTATAACTTTGAAATTCAACATTTGTAACTGTGAGATTCTTTATTTGCGACTTTGTAATTCATTAAATCTAACATTCGTATACTATTTCTTATTTTGCGATTCTTCATTTGTAACCACGTCATTTAAATATTTGCCATAGACACGCTGAAATTCGGATATTGATGTTTTGTAACTTGGTACATGTCGATTCGTTAAATGTCATCGTTGTATTATTCTAACGATCATTATGACGACAGATGGCGCTCGGTTTTCTTCTGTGTATAAGCCTTCTGTAAGTAGGAGCACCTCCATATGGAGTATATACCCTTAGTAATTAAAATCAATTATGTACAGCACATACATATAAAAGAAAACAAATAGATAAATAATTTTTTTTTATATGGCATACATACAGGTACTTGGTTTTATATAGAGATGACCTAGAATATACATGTATGTCTACTGTACTGGTCAACACACCTGGGAGGGGGTGTGTCACTTTCTTTATTAAGGTATATACATATGTGTCGCTGGAATGGGTCCCTTTTTCAACTTGGCAATTATATGACTGTCACTTGGTCTGAAATTTCAGACTTAATATATGACCGGGTCAAATATTTCAGACTAAATACATGAAATATAAGACTGAGCCGGAAAATTCAGACTAATATTGTTCTGGGCCTGAAACTTTTGACTAAATATATGATGGGAGAAATGGGTTGACACCTATTATTCCTTAATATTATAATTTCAATGTTAAAATTTTGAAAAAAAGAATTAAACTATCTAATGATTTTTTAATACAAGAAGCAAATAGATGAAACATCTTTACTTATTTTGGCTCTTGATATGAGTAATGAAGATAAAAATGTTTTATATCATTTTAATACTTTGCAAAACAAATTGAATGAGCAAAGAAGTATTATTTTAAATGAGTCACTTAGTTAATTTATACTATATATTAAAACTGTATTGAGTATGCAATATTTTGTTATATATATAAAGTCTAAAGGAATCTGACCCAACCAGAAAACTTAATGAATACTGGATCGTCGAGACATGACATATACTAGTAGTATAATGGTGTGATGTCCTAGTATCCCCTCTGAATATTTTGTCAATGACCACGATCGTAAAACTATGAAACTATTTCTTTTTTATTACACACATTTACCCACTTTTAACCAAAGTAAACCCCCCTCCCCTTTTTGACTGGTCAGAGAGAAGATCTCGCCATCTCGCCATTTTCATGACAGAAGCAATTCTCGCCAATCTGCTTACCCTAACTTTATTTCTCCATGAAAATCTTCATATATGACAGATTCTTTTAGAGAGCAAAGTATAAGCAATCTGTTAAGATGTTATGTCTTCAAATTTAGGTATAACTTTTCGGACAGGAGAGCTCCAAAAATGGGGAAGCATGAATTACTTGCAAGCGAGAAATACTTTTTGACGAGTATTTCTACTGGCTGGTCAGAGAGAAGAACTCACAGAAGCAATTCTCGTTCACAACAATTTTATTTCTCCATGAAAATCTTTGCACATGATTGAGGGGAGGGGGGTCTGTGAGAGCTCATTTTGGAAAGCAAAATGGTTTGTAAACTGTGGAGAGGGGAAGGCCAGGGGCGGGATCCCGGGAGTAGGGGGTCGTGAACCCAAGTTAAGGGGGCGAGAATCGGGAATATTTGGAGAACGCCCTGTGGGACGTTTTGTCTGCAACACATTTTGTAAATTTTTATAGGACGAAAAATCGGGTGGCGGCAATTACTTCTTGATTATTTCTTTAACAGTAAAGTTTAGTAGGCATGTATATTAATATATATCTGTCAGCCCCCTCAGTCAGAATTTAATGGTCAGATAATAGCAGTTTAGGATTAATAGAAACCGTTTATTACCTGGGTTTTCCAGTAATGATGTAGCCTTTTATAGCCGACTATACGGTATGTGTTTTTCTCATTGTTGAAGGCCGTACGGTTGCCTATAATTGCTTACATCCATTTTATTTGAACTTTGGTGGATAGTTGTCTCATTGGCAATCATACCACATCTCCTAGTTTTTATATAGTTTCCGGGGATCCATTTCGAACGCAGCTTCAGAAAACAAAATAAAACCGAGTTCCTGTATATATGCCATATAAAATCAAAAAATTTATAATATTAATCATCTTACCTCCTATACATTTCTAGGAATATCATTGGTGAAAAGCAAACACTTGGAGACCCTGTATATTTAATATGGGGTTAGTGGGCGTGTTTTATTTTAATATTGGTTAGTAGCTGTGTTACGTCCCTTTATAAGTAGTCTGAAACTATGACAACTGCTGCCATTCTCGTCCTATGAAAATTGCATAAATTACATCGATGTGAGATCAGTTGCATTCAATCAGAAGCACAAATTTAATTCAATGGGTCTGTAAAAAACATGCATTATGAGGATAAACTCATAGGCTTATGAAAATTTTGTCAAATATGACTGTTAAAAGTTCCATAACACTGAAATGACAAACTAGAAAATTTTCAAAATCAGAAGCGAGTCTATATTAACCAATTCCCACAACATTATTAAGTTTGTAGTAATTTGATCCAAGCGTAAAACTAGAACCTTGCGCATGACACTAAAACAAATACCTTTTATTTTTCTGACGGTTAAAGTCCCATATCTCTGAAATGACATATCAGATTTTTTTTAAATCAAACGGTGTGTTATGTTCACCAATTCCAACAATTATGTAAAGTTTCCAGTAAATCAACCCAAACAAACTCAAGTTACGGTACGCGACGAGACAAATTTACTTGCGTATGGCAATTTAAAGCACCGTAACTCTTGAACGACATACCAGAAAATTAAAACAATCGAAAGGGAGCATTCTTATATTAATCCCAACAATAATACAGATATTTTAAGTAAATCTATTCAGACATACTGGAGGTAGTGAATGATAAGTGAAAAATTTCAATAATTCAAACGGTTTTAAAGTTACGTTACTCTAAAACGACAAAGCCAAACATTTTCAAATTTGAAAGGGAGTTTAGTTGTTAATTCTGTGTCATTTGGTCTCTTGTGGAGAATTGTCTCATTGGCAATCATACCACATCTTCTTTTTTTATAATTAGTTAATATTAATGTTATGTTAAGAGTACATTTGAATTGGTAAAAGCAAATTTGAGTTATCGTACGAGGTGTTGACAGACGGACGGATGGACAATGGCATAACCATAAAACGTCTCCTTTCGACGGGCGTATAAAAATTAAGTACCCCATAGCTTTCATTGAATGATTAAGTGATTGTTTATCATAAATATAGCTGTGAATACTCATCGCTAATTTCCAAACATATAGTATCAAAACTTTTAACAAATTTTAAAACATTTCAAAATTGTAACCTGTTCAAAATTGAATATATTGTGCTCATGAACTTTTTCAAATGTGTCTGAATAGTACAATGAAATCTTTTCCTGTCGTAGGTCGGTGGGCTTTCCCGGGTACGTCGGCTCCCTCCGCCAATAAAACCTGACCGCCATGATTCAATCAAGAGTGCTGAAAGGGTCGTTAAACATTGTAATCAATTAATCACAATATACAATGTAATCTCTTCAACAAATTAAGTACCCCATAGCTTTCATTGAATGATCAAATTTATTACAAAAATATTCAGATAGAATCATAAAACTTCAAAAAAGAGTAGCAAGAATTATACTTGAATGCGATATTTCTGTTCCATCTTATTTTATGTTTTCATCTTTAAAATGGCTATCTTTTACAAAAAGAATAAAATACCAACAATCAATTCTAATGTACAAAATTGTAAATGGACTAACACCTGATTACTTAACAATGCTAAATATTAATGATGTGCAACACCACAACTTACGATCTGTCTCTAATAATGATCTATTTGTTCCAAGACCAAATACAATTTTTTTTTTTTAAATCTTTTCATTATTCTGCAACAAAGGTATGGAACAATTTACCACTCAAAATAAAAAATTGTCGAAATGTGGAATTATTTAAGAAACATTGTTATAATCATTTTCTTGAAAATTCTATGCAAGTCGAATAATTTGTTTTCGTTCTTTTATTGTAAGAATAAGAAAATTTAATCAAACTTTACCAATTATTGCCATTTATTGCCATTTGTATGTTTGAATGATTGAATTGTGTATATACTAGTAATATATAATGTATTTTAATGTATGAATGTTTACTGTATACATGTATTTTGTTTGTATTTTGTTTGAGGGCCTCAATAAAAATTAGACTACTTCTAATTGAGTTACCCTCTTTAAATAAAGAATTTATTATTATTATTATTATTATAATTACAAATGTTGTCCATTAGAAAGCGAGATTTTGACGTTTATTAAGGTCGCAATGTTGCAAGCTGAACGACAATTTTCTTCTATACGTATCTTACAATTTTGTACTGTAGATATATGTTTCTGATTAATATCTTAAAATTTCAACTTTCAACAAATATTTGTACATATTTCGATGTTTTGAAACTGGAAAGTAGAGTTTGAGATTTATGAGATTTTGCATTTAAATATTAATTAGTTTTAAGATAAATCTCAGGACTAGAACTGTCATTTTAAAACTCTTTCTGCATTTTTCTTTTTTATGATTTAAATCAAAACTTTTACTCTTTAGAACTGAAAAAAAAAAATCCAAATGAAAAAAAAAACAAAATTCTACCGTTGTAGCTAACATTAGCTTTAAATTATTAGATTGGTATCTTCGATGAGTGTTTTTCTACAAATAAAAAATGTTTTAAACTTACAGGTTTTAATAGAAATAGATACATAAACAAGGAAATGCTGCCATGTTGATAAAAAGGTAACGTTGTTGTTCAATATTCAAAGATCTAATTACAGTGTTGAATTGGTAATCTTTTAGACTAAGTTTATTCAACGGGTCGATAAGTTTACCCGGATCGTTTCTAAATTTCCGGGCTCGGTAAAGAACATCTCCGTAAATATGAGGATATGGGCTATCCCGTTTGAAATAAGTTTTCTACAGGTACAACCAAACTTCAAAAACAAAGCTTTATATCTATGGAAGAATGTAGTCAAGGTTTTGTGTAGTTTGTGGTAACGAAATCCCTGACTTAATAATTTACCAGTAATACATAGATTACGTTCATTGAAATCCAAAACGTCACAACAGACACGGGCATAGCTAACGAGTTGTAATATGTAAACACCGTAAGATGGTGCCAAAGGAACATCCCCGTCCATAACGGTAAGTGTTGTTGAATTTATCAATTAAATGCAATTTAGACGGGTCTTTACTGAGTTTGGTCATAAACTGTGATTCATAACAGTACAAGAACAAGTCTGCTATTAAAGGAGCGCAGTTTTTTATGATTTAAATCAAAACTAATACTCTTTAGAACTGAAAAAAAAAAATCCAAATGAAAAGAACAAAATTCTACCATTGCAGCGAACATGCGTTTGGTATTTTAAATTATTACCTTGGGATCTCTGATGAGTGTTTTTCTACAAATAAAAATGTTTTAAACTTACAGGTTTAAAATAGAAATAGATACATAAATTAGGAAATGCTGCCATGTTGATAAAAAGGTAACGCGGTTGTTTTTAAATGTATCACATCTATTTTCTGGTCCATAAATAAAATATTTCACTCATCTTCCTCCAACTTGTCTTTGTTTATATGTGCAACATGAATCCGCCATTCATATAGAGAACTAACGGATGTTCTCGCACATGCAGTATTTGGCAAACCTTCAGTTTATAAGCTGACCGTAAGATAATAGATAGAATGTATAGAAAGAAGAAAAAATAATTTGATTATTCAAGTGTATTTACTTAAATATGTGTGAAAAATTAATGTTGGCTCATTCAGGAGGCGCACAATTATAGGGTCTATTTTTTTTTTAATATTTAAGGAATGACTGTAATATTTTTTCTGTCTATGAAGAAATAACATCAAAAATGTGGTGCACACTGAATATTTTAAAGTGTGCAACACATTTTTTATGTTATTTCGAATAGACAGAAAAATATTACAGTCATTTCTTATAATTTAATTCTTAATTCCATTTTAAACCGGAGTAAACCATGAAAAAACGTTGATGACGTCACGGTGACATGACAAACTTATGTCTATGAGCTGATAAACAAAACAAAGTCAGCCAATCAGAAGAAGCGTTACATCCAAAATTAAATTATTTTGAAACCACCCTAACTATGTTGTATGAAAAATGATTTATTTGCAATTGCTTTGTCGTAGGAAAGATTTCAACTTCATCACTTGTAATTCCTGGTTTAATAGTTTCCTTGTAAGCAGCAACCCTCTATTAAGGAAACAATGATAGGAAATGCAAGCTATGGAATATCGTATCAACTGGGAGATATATACTCCATATGCAGCGCTTGGAATGCTGCTTCATAGAAATTTCACAATTCGGAAGGTGATTTGATATCAAACATGCGGTTTTCTTTAAATTAGTAATCCCTTATTAGAACACACATTGTATGTACCGAATTGTTGAATTACATTGTTGAATTACACTGACTTGATTGTACACATGCGTAATCCAGAATAGTTGATTATATGGAAAATTTAATTTCAAGGTTGAAAAAAATAAGGGTTCCATTACATATCCAAATACAAAATGGTATGATTGCCAATGAGACAACTCGAGACCAAATGTTATATTCAAGACGGGTCCTCTGAATCTACAAAAACAAGGCGAAACGAACAAAATTGCTTAGATAACGACAAATTTATTTCTTTGGTTATGGTTGGACTTTTGAGCAAGAGGTTTTGTGTGGACAGAATGATCATGTTCACCCGTTATAAGGCTGGACTACTTATTTCATTTTTTTCGTCGAAAAAATATTTTTCGTTGTGTACACACCTATTTCTTTTTTGAAATCGTATGTGCACCTGAATGTAGAGATAATTCATTTTCAGCATGTCTAGGGCAATGAGTTACTGATGTTCAGTTCTAGACATCATCACGTTCATTTCATTCAACATGCCCATCACAAAATATAGAATGGTCCTTCCCTAGCTAATAGAACTTCTCTGAATCCGCTCAATTGTTACTTTTGTTTTCTGTGGATGATATAAAAAAAAAAATCTTCTTAAAACCAAATACATTGTGTGTTCTGCAAAATATTTATAGAATAACTAATCGAAGAATTCAAATAGAGAAAAATATTCAACGAGTGACCGAACAACACATTAATTCACGAATGCGCGTAGCGCATGAGTTAATTATCAGTGTTGTTCGGTCACGAGTTGAATATTTTTCGATATTTGAATTCTTTGATTAGTTATTCTTTTTATTACATTGGCAAATGGCTTTTTTAATGAAATTAATGTAGAAAATGTAAGGAACTATATCTTTTTTCTACGCATTCACAATTTGTTTTGATCCGACGTTATCGACGTCTTGACAACGCCTATTGTTGTATGACGTCAGAGAGTGAAATAACCACGTTTATTTCACATGTGAAATTATCGGTTTTTATTTGACTGGGAAATCAATGTAATTCATTGCTACCAATGTAATAAATTTTTTTATCGTGTATTTTACCTTGTGTTCACATTTTCTCCAAATATAGCTCAAATAATTCTTAGCTCAAATAATTCTTTTCGGGCAATAACTGATAAAGAAAGCTGATTCACAATTTCAGCAATGTTAACCCATTGGTAAATCTTATCTTTAAGCTTATTTAAGCTGTTACAGTATATTGCCTCTCTTTACCTATTAAAATTTTCGAGAACGGCAAAGAAATTAATGACAATTTCAGTAATGTCAACGTATTTTAACTCTTTCCTCGTTGATCTGTTTTTCTGAAAGCATATCTCTGTCTATCATAGTTCTTAAAAGAAAACATAAAACACAGAAAGAGAGAAAAATCATTAAAAATTGATGTTTTTAAAACAATAGTATAGAACCCAATTCATACGATGCCACGGCAAAATGTAGTTTTTAAAACAAAAGCATAACTAATTTTTCACAATGCCATTATAAAATGTTGTTTCTAAAACAATAGTATAGAACCCAATTCATACGATGCCACGGCAAAATGTAGTTTTCAAAACAAAAGCATAACTATTTTTTACAATGCCATTATAAAATGTACTTTCTAAAACAATATCTTAACTTAGCCTATTATATGCCTTTACAAAGTGAAGTTGTTTTTTTTAACAGTTTATTTATTTATTTATCTATTTATTTATTTATTTAATGGTAATTTGTCGCACCTGGGATTTACATGAATAATACAGTCTTTTGGTCCCAGGTTGTCTTTTCCTGCATTTTTTTTAAATATCAAAGACCACTAGCTAATTTTATTTTTACAAGTAACCATTATTTTTATTAAAATGCTTATTGTATTTCGATACTATGCGAATAAAAGTCTTTAATGTGTTCATCAAAAGAAACATTTTGTTTCATGTGTATAACAGGAGTGATTTTTATTGTACAGTGTGCAAATGATTATTTGTTTTACTTAGAAATACAATCTTCATATTATAACGATAAAATATTAATATAATTTGCACTAGAATGGACATGTATATGTACTGTACTGATTTTTTTGTTTTTTGTGATTTATATCTTTTATTTCAAATCACCTGGATACATAAACACTAAGCAGTCCAGGGCAGCTGACAGAGGGGTCCCTGCCTTTTTTTTACATATCCCATTTGCTACTAGCCAATGTGCACTTATAAAGAAACACAATCTGTGGCGAGTAAAATACTATTACAAAAAAAGTAATACAATAATGTAGTATGTAATATAAATATGTATAGAATATAACCTATAAAATTAACTTATATTAATAATGGCGATTGTTGGTAAATGAAGGTGCATAAACAATACACTAGTTCAAAGTGTGCCTTTTGTATTCAAAGATAACTATAGCTATAATATTTGGCCATCTTTTATACAATATAGTTTTTCATTTGTTTAAATATCTGACTTTTAATCCGATGAGTAAAGCTGCACTCGCTTTCTAACTGGTTTTTATAGTTTGTTCTTAGACTGTACTGTTACACCACTGTCCCATGTAAAAGAGGGGGGTGGCACAAGCAAACATGTTAAACCCCGCCATATTCTGTATGTGCATGTCCCAAGTAAGGATCCTGTTATTCAGTGGTTGTCGTTTGTTTGTTGCTGTATATCATATTTGTTTTTCGTTTATTGTTTTGTACATGAATCAGGTCGTTAGTTTTCTCGTTTGAATTGTTTAACATTTGTCATTTCGGGACATCTTTTAGCTTACTATGCGTTATGGATTTAACTCATTGTTGTAGGCCGTATGGTGACCTATAGTTGTTAATTTCTACGTCAGTTGGTCTCTGGTGGAGAGTTGTCTCATTGGCAATCTTACCACATCTGTTTATTTTTATAAAATCATAGCCACTTAATACTCCCCATCCCATCACATATTATTTTCAACGCTTTTGTCTACATAAATTTGTCATGAACTGTAAAATATTGTTTGTTCTATAAGAATACAATCTTCTTAAAAGGATTTAAAGAAATAAAATTTATCTATACTAGGGACAGTTAGTTGGTATAAAACGATTGACGTGAATGTATGCGATGTACAGTTACTCCATAAATAAACGGAAAAGACCAGACACAGTATTTATCATAGAAATCCAAAGAAGTCGTAAAATAGGTTTGCATCGTATATTTAAAATATATTAGTAATGAACTTCTAGTTGCAGTTCAAGGATTTTAAAAAGGGTGGGGTATCATGACAACGTTAGGAGTGAGTGGCATTTGAAAATTGTATGCATTCACCATAAATGTAGCTGCGGCCGACCACCCCCCCCCCCCCTTATTT